ACTCGGGGTCCCTCCACATACCTATTGCTGAGAGAAGCCTCCTCCTGAGGTGCTTCTGGAAGTGGGCATACGTCTTGATCCTAAGCCAGGGAATCAGCTCTCATCTCGAGACGGTTTGGGGTGCACAGAGCATTCCTCGAGTTGCTGTGCTGAAGTTGGTGTTCCTCTAGACTTGGGACAGTGTTCTTGGGGCATCTCTGGAGTTGCCTGAAGGAAGTCGAGCCACCGGTCGTGTTGAATGGGGAACGGGGAATGGCTCTGGAATCAATGCAGGGGAATCGGGCCTCATCTCGAGTTGATTTGGGGCACAAGGAGCTGCTTTGCGTTGCTTGGGTGACCTCAGGGTCCGTCTAGACTGGTGACAGTGTTCTTGGGGACTGTCTCGAGATCCATTAAGCAAGTCGAAATTCCTGAGTTGTTTGAATGGGATCACGGAATAGCTCTGCATGCACTGCATGGGAATGGGGCTTCACCTCGCCTCTAGGGGGAAGTCTCATTGTTTTTCTCGAGTTGCGGCGGGGACCTGGGGTATGTTCTCGACTTACGGCGGGGATGGCCCTTAAAAACACGTGTTTCTTCAGTGACGTCAGGACTCCTGTCTAGTAACGAGGGACACCTCAAGAATCACTTTGAGGCTTGACAGGGCAAAAGGGAGGCTTCTCGAGGTGAGGCAGGGCCCCCAAGGACCCTTTCCAGTAGCCACAGGGATTTTGGGATTCCTATCAGTATTCCAGAGGAGGCATGAATCGTCACCTTTTGAAGCAATGAACTCCGCATGCCTCTCGAGGTGTCAGCGGGATGTGAGGCATTCCGTCAAAATGAGGCAGGGACCTAAGGCTTTCTCTAAGGTCTCCACAGCGGATTCAGACATCCCTTCATGTTGTGAGATGAAAGACGAGCCTGTATTCAAGCCACTGCAAGGAAATCCGGCCTCCTTTCAAGTTAGGGCTTCTTGCTGTATATTCCACTTGAGGAAGCGATCTCGGGGTCCCTCTCACATAACTGTTGCTGAGAGAAGCCTCCTCCTGAGGTGCTTCTGGAAAGTTGGCATACGTCTTGAGCCTAAGCCAGGGAATCAGCTCTCATCTCGAGATGTTTTGGGGTACACGGAGCATTCCTCGAGTTGCTGTGCTGAAGTTGGTGTTCCTCTAGACTTGGGACAGTGTTCTCGGGGCATCTCAGGAGTTGCCTGAAGGAAGTCGAGCCACCGGTCATGTTGAATGGGGAACGTGAAATGGCTCTGGAATCAATACAGTGGAATCGGGCCTCATCTCGAGTTGATTTGGGGCACATGGAGCTGCTTTGCGTTGCTGGGGTGACCTCAGGGTCCGTCTAAACTGGTGACAGTGTTCTTGGGGACGGTCTCGTGATCCATTAAGCAAGTCGAAGCTCCTGACTTGTTTGAATGGGATCATGGAATAGCTCTGCATGCACTGCAGGGAATGGGACCTCATCTCGCCTCTAGGGGGAAGTCTCATGGTTTTTCTCGAGTTGCGACGGGGACCTGGGTTATGTTCTCGACTTACGGCGGGGATGGCCCTTCAAAACACGAGTTTCTTCAGTGACGTCAGGACTCCTGTCTAGTAACGAGGGACAACTCAGGAATCTCTTCGAGGCTTGGGAGGGCAAAAGGGACGCTTCTCGAGGTGAGGCAGGGCACCCAAGGACCCTTTCTTTTAGGCACAGGGATTTTGGGATTCCTATCAGTATTCAAGAGGAGGCAGGCATCGTCACCTTTTGAAGCAATGAACTCCGCGTGCCTCTCGAGGTGTCAACGGGATGTGAGGCAATCTGTCAAAATGAGGCAGGGACCTAGGGCTTTCTCTAAGGTCTCCACAGGGGATTCAGACATGCCTTCATGTTGTGAGATCAAAGACGAGCCAGTATTCAAGCCACTGCAAGGAAATCCGGCCTCCTTTCAAGTTAGGGCTTCTCGCTGTATATTCCCCTTGAGGCAGCGATCTCGGGGTCCCTCCCACATACATATTGCTGAGAAAAACCTCCTCTTGAGGTGCTTCTGGAACGTTGGCATACGTCTTGAGCATAAGCCAGGGAATCAGCTGTCATCTCGAGATGATTTGGAGTACACTGAGCATTCCTCGAGTTGCTGTGCTCAAGTTGATGTTCCTCTAGACTTGGGAGAGTGTTCTCGGGGCATCTCTGGAGTTTCCTGAAGGAAGTCGAGCCACCGGTCCTGTTGAATGCGGAAACGGAAATGGCTCTGGAGTTAATGCAGGGGAATCGGGCCTCATCTCGAGTTGATTTGGGGCACATGGAGCTGCTTTGCGTTGCTGTGGTGAACTCAGGGTCCGTCTAGACTGGTGACAGTGTTCTTATGGACGGTCTCGAGATCCATTAAGCAAGTCGAAGCTCCTGACTTGTATGAATGGATTCACGGAATAGCTCTGCATGCACTGCAGGGAATGGGACCTCATCTCGCCTCTAGGGGGAAGTCTCATGGTTTTTCTCGAGTTGCGACGGGGACCTGGGTTATGTTCTCGACTTACGGCGGGGATGGCCCTTCAAAACACGAGTTTCTTCAGTGACGTCAGGACTCCTGTCTAGTAACGAGGGACAACTCAGGAATGTCTTCGTGGCTTGGGAGGGCAAAATGGACGCTTCTCGAGGTGAGGCAGGGCACCCAAGGACCCTTTCCAGTAGCCACAGGGATTTTGGGATTCCTATCAGTATTCAAGAGGAGGCAGGCATCGTCACCTTTTGAAGCAATGAACTCTGCGTGCCTCTCGAGGTGGCAGCGGGATGTGAGGCATTCCGTCAAAATGAGGCAGGGACCTAGGTCTTTCCTTAAGATCTCCACAGGGGATTCAGACATCCCTTCATGTTGTGAGATGTAAGACGAGCCTGTATTCAAGCCACTGCAAGGAAATCCGGCCTCCTTTCAAGTTAGGGCTTCTCGCTGTATATTCCCCTTGAGGCTGCAAACTCGGGGTACCTCCCACATACCTATTGCTGAGAGAAGCCTCCTCTTGAGGTGCTTCTGGAAAGTTGGCATACGTCTTGAGCCTAAGCCAGGGAATCAGCTCTCATCTCGAGACGATTTGGGGCACACGGAGCATTCCTCGAGTTGCTGTGCTGAAGTTGGTGTTCCTCTAGCCTTGGGACAGTTTTCTCGAGGCATCTCTGTAGGTGCCTGAAGGAAGTCGAGCCACCGGTCGTGTTGAATGGGGAACGGGAAATGGCTCTGGAGTCAATGCAGGGGAATCGGGCCTCATCTCGAGTTGATTTTGGGCAGATGGAGCTGCTTTGCTTTGCTGGGGTGACCTCAGGGTCTATTTAGATTGGTGACAGTGTTCTTGGGGACTGTCTCGAGATCCATTAAGCAAGTCGAAGCTCCTGACTTGTTTGAATGGGATCAGGGAATAGCTCTGCATGCACTGCAGGGGAATGGGGCCTCATCTCGACTCTACGTTGAAGTGTCATGGTTTTTCTCGAGTTGCGGCGGGGACCTGGGGTATGTTCTCGACTTAGGGCGGGGATGGCCCTTCAAAACACGAGTTTCTTCAGTGATGTCAGGACTCCTGTCTAGTAACGAGGGACACCTCAGGAATCTCTTCCAGGCTTGGCAGGGCAAAAGGGACGCTTTTCCAGGTGAGGCAGGGCACCCAAGGACCCTTTCCAGTAGCCACAGGGATTTTGGGATTCCTATCAGTATTCAACAGGGGTCAGACATCGTCACCTTTTGAAGCAATGAACTCCGCGTGCCTCTCGAGTTGTCAACGGGATGTGAGGCATTTCGTCAAAATGAGGCTGGGACCTAGGGCTTTCTCTTAGGTCTCCACAGGGGATTCAGACATCCCTTCATGTTGTGAGATGAAAGACGAGACTGTATTCAAGCCACTGCAAGGAAATCCGGCCTCCTTTCAAGTTAGGGCTTCTCGCTGTATATTCCCCTTGAGGCTGCTAACTCGGGGTCCCTCCCACATATGTATTGCTGAGAGAAGCCTCCTCCTGAGGTGCTTCTGGAAAGTTGGCATACGTCTTGAGCCTAAGCCAGGGTATCAGCTCTCATCTCGAGACGATTTGGCGTACATGGAGCATTCCTCGAGTTGCTGTGCTGAAGTTGGTTTTCCTCTAGACTTGGGACAGTGTTCTCGGGGCATCTCTGGAGTTGGCTGAAGGAAGTCGATCCACTGGTCGTGTTGATTGGGGAACCGGGAATGGCTATGGAGTCAATGCAGGGCAATCGGGCCTCATCTCGAGTTGATTTGGGGCACATCGAGCTGCTTTGCGTTGCTTGGGTGACCTCAGGGTCCGTCTAGACTGGTGACAGTGTTCTTGGGGACTGTCTCGAGATCCATTAAGCAAGTCGAAGCTCCTGACTTGTTTGAATGGGATCACGGAATAGCTCTGCATGCACTGCATGGGAATGGGGCCTCACCTCGCCTCTAGGGGAAGACTCATGGTTTTTCTTGAGTTGCGGCGGGGACCTGGGGTATGTTCTCCACTTACAGCGGGGATGGCCCTTCAAAACACGAGTTTCTTCAGTGACGTCAGTACGCCTGTCTAGTAACGAGGGACACCTCAGGAATCTCTTCGAGGCTTGGCAGGGCAAAAGGGACGCTTATCGAGGTGAGGCAGGGCACCCAAGTACCCTTTCCAGTAGCCACAGTGATTTGGGGATTCCTATCAGTATTCAAGAGGAGTCAGGCATCGTCACCTTTTGAAGCAATGAACTCCGCGTGCCTCTCGAGGTGTCAACGGGATGTGAGGCATTGCATCAAAATGAGGCAGGGCCCTAGGGCTTTCTCTAAGGTCTCCACAGGGGATTCAGACATCCCTTCATGTTGTGAGATGAAAGACGAGCCTGTATTCAAGCCACTGCAAGGAAATCCGGCCTCCTTTCTAATTAGGGCTTCTCGCTGTATATTCCCCTTGAGGCATCAAATTCGGGGTCCCTCCCACATACCTATTGCTGAGAGAAGCCTCCTCTTGAGGTGCTTCTGGGAAGTTGGCATACGTCTTGAGCCTAAGCCAGGGAATCAGCTCTCAGCTCGAGATGATTTGGGGTACACGGAGCATTCCTCGAATTGCTGTGCTCAAGTTGGTGTTCCTCTAGACTTGGGACAGTGTTCTCGTGGCATCTCTGGAGTTGCCTAAAGGAAGTCGAGCCACCGGTCGTGTTGAATGGGGAACGGGAAATGGCTCTGGAGTCAAGGCAGGGGAATCGGGCCTCATCTCGAGTTGATTTGCGGCACATGGAGCTGCTTTTCGTTGCTGTGGTGAAGTCAGGGTCCGTCTAGACTGGTGACAGTGTTCTTATGGACGGTCTCGAGATCCAATAAGGAAGTCGAAGCTCCTGACTTGTATGAATGGGATCACGGAATAGGTCTGCATGCACTGCAGGGAATGGGACCTCATCTCGCCTCTAAGGGGAAGTCTCATGGTTTTTCTCGAGTTGCGGCGGGGACTTGGGGTATGTTCTCGACTTAGGGCGGGGATGGCCCTTCAAAATACGTGTTTATTCAGTGACGTCAGGACTCCTGTGTAGTAACGAGGGACACCTTCGGAATCTCTTCGAGGCTTGGCAGGGCAAAAGGGACGCTTCTCGAGGTGAGGCAGGGCACCCAAGTACCCTCTCCAGTAGCCACAGGGATTTTGGGATTCCTATCAGTATTCAAGAGGAGTCAGGCATCGTCACCTTTTGAAGCAATGAACTCCGCGTGCCTCTCGAGGTGTCAGCGGGATGTGAGGCATTCCGTCAAAATGAGGCAGGTACCTAGGGCTTTCTATAAGGTCTCCACAGGGGATTCAGACATCCCTTCATGTTGTGAGATGAAAGACGAGCCTGTATTCAAGCCAATGCAAGGAAATCCGGCCTCCTTTCAAGTTAGGGTTTCTCGCTGTATATTCCCCTTGAGGCAGCAAACTCGGGATACCTCCCACATACCTATTGCTGAGAGAAGCCTCCTCCTGAGGTGCTTCTGGAAAGTTGGCATACGTCTTGAGCCTAAGCCAGGGAATCAGCTCTAAGCTCGAGACGATTTGGGTTACACGGAGCATTCCTTGACTTGCTGTTCTGAAGTTGGTGTTCCTCGAGACTTGGGACAGTGTTCTCGGGGCATGTGTGGAGTTGCCTGAAGGAAGTCGAGCCACCGGTCGTGTTGAATGGGGAACGGCGAATGTCTCTGGAGTCAATGCAGGGGAATCAGGCCTCATCTCGAGTTGATTTGGGGCACATGGAGCTGCTTTGCGTTGCTGGGGTGATCTCAGGGTCCGTCTAGACTGGTGACAGTGTTCTTGGGGACTGTCTCGAGATCCATTAAGCAAGTCGAAGCTCTTGTCTTGTTTGAATGGAACACGGAATAGCTCTGCATGCACTGCATGGGAATGGGGCCTCATCTCGCCTCTAGGGGGAAGTCTCATGGTTTTTCTCGAGTTGCGGGGGGACCTGGTGTATGTTCTCGACTAACGGCGGGGATGGCCCTTCAAAACACGAGTTTCTTCAGTGACGTCAGGACTCCTGTCTAGTAACGAGGGACACCTCAGGAATCTCTTCGAGGCTTGGCAGGGCAAAACGGACGCTTCTAGAGGTGAGGCAGGGCACACAAGATTCCTTTCCAGTAGCCACAGGGATTTTGGGATTCCTATCAGTATTCAAGAGGAGTCAGGCATCGTCACCTTTTGAAGCAATGAACTCCGCGTGCCTCTCGAGGTGTCAACGGGATGTGAGGCATTCCATCAAAATGAGGCAGGGACCTAGGGTTTTCTCTAAGTTCTCCAAAGGGGATTCTGACATCTCTTCATGTTGTGAGATGAAAGACGAGCCTGTATTCTAGCCACTGCAAGGAAATCCGGCCTTCTTTCAAGTTAGGGCTTCTCTCTGTATATTCCCGTTGAGGCAGCAACCTCGGGGTCTCTCCCACATATATATTGCTAAGAGAAGCCTCCTCTTGAGGTGCTTCTGGAAAGTTGGCATACGTCTTGAGCCTAAGCCAGGGAATCAGCTCTCATCTCGAGATGATTTGGGGTACACGGAGCATTCGTCGAGTTGCTGTGCTGAAGTTGGTGTTCCTCTAGACTTGGGAGAGTGTTCTCGGGGCATCTCTGGAGTTGCCTGAAGGAAGTCGAGCCACCGGTCGTTTTGAATGCGGAACGGGAAATGGCTCTGGAGTCAATGCAGGGGAATCGGGCCTCATCTCGAGTTGATTTGGGGCACATGGAGCATCTTTGCGTTGCTGGGGTGACCTCAGGGTCCGTCTAGACTGGTGACAGTGTTATTGGGGACTGTCTCGAGATCCATTAAGCAAGTCGAAGCTCCTGACTTGTTTGAATGGGATCACGGAATAGCTCTGCATGCACTGCATGGGAATGGGGCCTCACCTCGCCTCTAGGGTGAAGTCTCATGGTTTTTCTCGAGTTGCGGCGGGGACCTGGGATATGTTCTCGACTTACGGCGGGGATGGCCCTTCAAAACACGAGTTTCTTCAGTGATGTCAGGACTCCTGTCTAGTAACGAGGGACACCTCAGGAATCTCTTCCAGGCTTGGCAGGGCAAAAGGGACACTTCTCGAGGCGAGGCAGGGCACCCAAGGACCCTTTCTTGTAGGCACAGGGATTTTGGGATTCCTATCAGTATTCAAGAGGAGTCAGGCATCGTCACCTTTTGAAGCAATGAACTCCGCGTGCCTCTCGAGGTGTCAACGGGATGTGAGGCAATCCGTCAAAATGAGGCAGGGACCTAGGGCTTTCTCTAAGGTCTCCACAGGGGATTCAGACATGCCTTCATGTTGTGAGATCAAAGACGAGCCTGTATTCAAGCCACTGCAAGGAAATCCGGCCTCCTTTCAAGTTAGGGCTTCTCGCTGTATATTCCCCTTGAGGCAGCGATCTCGGGGTCCCTCCCACATACATATTGCTGAGAAAAGCCTCCTCTTGAGGTGCTTCTGGAACGTTGGCATACGTCTTGAGCCTAAGCCAGGGAATCAGACGTCATCTCGAGATGATTTGGAGTACACGGAGCATTCCTCGAGTTGCTCTGCTCAAGTTGATGTTCCTCTAGAATTGGGAGAGTGTTCTCGGGGCATCTCTGGAGTTTCCTGAAGGAAGTTGAGCCACCGGTCGTGTTGAATGCGGAAACGGAAATGGCTCTGGAGTCAAAGCAGGGGAATCGGGCCTCATCTCGAGTTGATTTGGGGCACATGGAGCTGCTTTGCGTTGCTGTGGTGAACTCAGGGTCCGTCTAGACTGGTGACAGTGTTCTTATGGACGGTCTCGAGATCCATTAAGCAAGTCGAAGCTCCTGACTTGTATGAATGGATTCACGGAATAGCTCTGCATGCACTGCAGGGAATGGGACCTCATCTCGCCTCTAGGGGGAAGTCTCATGGTTTTTCTCGAGTTGCGACGGGGACCTGGGATATGTTCTCGACTTACGGCGGGGATGGCCCTTCAAAACACGAGTTTCTTCAGTGACGTCAGGACTCCTGTCTAGTAACGAGGGACAACTCAGGAATCTCTTCGTGGCTTGGGAGGGCAAAAGGGACGCTTCTCGAGGTGAGGCAGGGCACCCAAGGACCCTTTCCAGTAGCCACAGGGATTTGGGATTCCTATCAGTATTCAAGAGGAGGCAGGCATCGTCACCTTTTGAAGCAATGAACTCCGCGTGCCTCTCGAGGTGGCAGCGGGATGTGAGGCATTCCGTCAAAATGAGGCAGTGACCTAGGGCTTTCGCTAAGGTCTCCACAGCGGATTCAGACATCCCTTCATGTTGTGAGATGAAAGACGAGCCTGTATTCAAGCTACTGCAAGGAAATCCGGCCTGTTTCAAGTTAGGGCTTCTCGCTGTATATTACCCTTAAGGCAGCAAATTCGGGGTCCCTCCCACATACGTACTGCTGAGAGAAGCCTCCTCCTGAGGTGCTTCTGGAAGTTGGCATACGTCTTGAGCCTAAGGCAGGGAATCAGCTCTCATCTCGAGACGATTTGGGCTGCACGGAGCATTCCTCGAGTTGCTGTGCTGAAGATGGTGTTCCTCTAGACTTGGGACAGTGTTCTTGGGGCATCTCTGGAGTTGCCTGAAGTAAGTCGAGCCACCGGTCCTGTTGAATGGGGAACGGGGAATGGCTCTGGAGTCAATGCCGGGGAATCGGGCCTCATCTCGAGTTGACTTGGGGCACATGGAGCTGCTTTGCGTTCCTGGGGTGATTTCAGGGTCCGTCTAGACTGGTGACAGTGTTCTTGGGGACTGTCTCGAGATCCATTAAGCAAGTCGAAGCTCCTGACTTGTTTGAATGGGATCACCGAATAGATCTGCATACACTGCATGGGAATGGGGTCTCACCTCGCCTCTAGGGGGAAGTCTCATGGTTTTTCTCGAGTTGCGGCGGGGACCTGGGGTATGTTCTCGACTTACGGTGGGGATGGCCCTTCAAAACACGTGTTCCTTCAGTGACGTCAGGACTCATGTCTAATAAAGAGGGACACGTCAGGAATCTCTTCGAGGCTTGGCAGGGCAAAAGGGACGCTTTTCCAGGTGAGGCAGGGCACCCAAGGACCCTTTCCAGTAGCCACAGGGATTTTGGGATTCCTTTCAGTATTCAACAGGGGTCAGACATCGTCACCTTTTGAAGCAATGAACTCCGCGTGCCTCTCGAGTTGTCAACGGGATGTGAGGCATTTCGTCAAAATGAGGCTGGGACCTAGGGCTTTCTCTTAGGTCTCCACAGGGGATTCAGACATCCCTTCATGTTGTGAGATGAAAGACGAGCCTGTATTCAAGCCACTGCAAGGAAATCCGGCCTCCTTTCAAGTTAGGGCTTCTCGCTGTATATTCCCCTTGAGGCAGCGATCTCGGGGTCCCTCCCACATACCTATTGCTGAGAGAAGCCTCCTATTGAGGTGTTTCTGGAAAGTTGGCATACGTCTTGAGCCTAAGCCAGGGAATCAGCTCTCATCTCGAGACGATTTGAGGCACACGGAGCATTCCTCGAGTTGCTGTGCTGAAGTTGGTGTTCCTCTAGACTTGGGACAGTGTTCTCGGCGCATTTCTGGAGTTGCCTGAAGGAAGTCGAGCCACCGTTCGTGTTGAATGGGGAAAGGGAAATGGCTCTGGAGTCAATGCAGGGGAATCGGGCCTCATCTCGAGATGATTTGGGGCACATGGAGCTGCTTTGCGTTGCTGGGGTGACCTCAGGGTCCGTCTAGACTGGTGACAGTGTTCTTGGGGACTGTCTCGAGATCCATTAAGCAAGTCGAAGCTCCTGACTTATTTGAATGGGATCACGAAATAGCTCTGCATGCACTGCAGGGGAATGGGGCCTCATCTCGCCTCTAGGGGGAAGTCTCATGGTTTTTCTCGAGTTGCGGCGGGGACCTGGGGTATGTTCTCGACTTACGGCGGGGAGGGCCCTTCAAAGGCGAGTTTCTTCAGTGACGTCAGGACTCCTGTCTAGTAATGAGGGACACCTCAGAAATCTCTTCGAGGCTTGGCAGGGCAAAAGGGACGCTTCTCGAGGTGAGGCAGGGCACCCAAGGACCCTTTCCAGTAGCTACAGTGATTTGGGGATTCCTATCAGTATTCAAGAGGAGTCAGGCATCGTCACCTTTTGAAGCAATGAATTCCGGGTGCCTCTCGAGGTGTCAACGGGATGTGAGGCATTCCGTCAAAATGATCCAGGGACCTAGGGCTTTCTCTAAGGACTCCACAGGGGATTCAGAAATCCCTTCATGTTGTGAGATGAAAGACGAGCCTGTATTCAAACCACTGCAAGGAAATCCGGCCTCCTTTCAAGTTAGGGCTTCTCGCTGTATATTCCCCTTGAGGCTGCTAACTCGGGGTCCCTCCCACATATGTATTGCTGAGAGAAGCCTCCTCCTGAGGTGCTTCTGGGAAGTTGGCATACGTCTTGAGCCTAAGCCAGGGTATCAGCTCTCATCTCGAGACGATTTGGCGTACATGGAGCATTCCTCGAGTTGCTGTGCTGAAGTTGGTTTTCCTCTAGACTTGGGACAGTGTTCTCGGGGCATCTCTGGAGTTGGCTGAAGGAAGTCGATCCACTGGTCGTGTTGATTGGGGAACCGGGAATGGCTATGGAGTCAATGCAGGGCAATCGGGCCTCATCTCGAGTTGATTTGGGGCACATCGAGCTGCTTTGCGTTGCTTGGGTGACCTCAGGGTCCGTCTAGACTGGTGACAGTGTTCTTGGGGACTGTCTCGAGATCCATTAAGCAAGTCGAAGCTCCTGACTTGTTTGAATGGGATCACGGAATAGCTCTGCATGCACTGCATGGGAATGGGGCCTCACCTCGCCTCTAGGGGAAGACTCATGGTTTTTCTCGAGTTGCGGCGGGGACCTGGGGTATGTTCTCCACTTACGGCGGGGATGGCCCTTCAAAACACGAGTTTCTTCAGTGACGTCAGTACGCCTGTCTAGTAACGAGGGACACCTCAGGAATCACTTCGAGGCTTGGCAGGGCAAAAGGGACTGTTCTCGAGGTGAGGCAGGGCACCCAAGTACCCTTTCCAGTAGCCACAGTGATTTGGGGATTCCTATCAGTATTCAAGAGGAGTCAGGCATCGTCACCTTTTGAAGCAATGAACTCCGCGTGCCTCTCGAGGTGTCAGCGGGATGTGAGGCATTGCATCAAAATGAGGCAGGGCCCTAGGGCTTTCTCTAAGGTCTCCACAGGGGATTCAGACATCCCTTCATGTTGTGAGATGAAAGACGAGCCTGTATTCAAGCCACTGCAAGGAAATCCGGCCTCCTTTCTAGTTAGGGCTTCTCGCTGTATATTCCCTTTGAGGCATCAAATTCGGGGTCCCTCCCACATACCTATTGCTGAGAGAAGCCTCCTCTTGAGGTGCTTCTGGGAAGTTGGCATACGTCTTGAGCCTAAGCCAGGGAATCAGCTCTCAGCTCGAGATGATTTGGGGTACACGGAGCATTCCTCGAGTTGCTCTGCTCAAGTTGGTGTTCCTCTAGACTTGGGACAGTGTTCTCGCGGCATCTCTGGAGTTGCCTAAAGGAAGTCGAGCCACCGGTCGTGTTGAATGGGGAACGGGAAATGGCTCTGGAGTCAAGGCAGGGGAATCGGGCCTCATCTCGAGTTGATTTGGGGCACATCGAGCTGCTTTTCGTTGCTGTGGTGAAGTCAGGGTCCGTCTAGACTGGTGACAGTGTTCTTATGGACGGACTCGAGATCCAATAAGGAAGTCGAAGCTCCTGACTTGTATGAATGGGATCACGGAATAGGTCTGCATGCACTGCAGGGAATGGGACCTCATCTCGCCTCTAGGGGGAAGTCTCATGGTTTTTCTCGAGTTGCGGCGGGGACCTGCGGTATGTTCTCGACTTACGGCGGGGATGGCCCTTCAAAACACGTGTTTATTCAGTGATGTCAGGACTCCTGTGTAGTAAGGAGGGACACCTCCGGAATCTCTTCGAGGCTTGGCAGGGCAAAAGGGACGCTTCTCGAGGTGAGGCAGGGCACCCAAGTACCCTCTCCAGTAGCCACAGGGATTTTGGGATTCCTATCAGTATTCAAGAGGAGTCAGGCATCGTCACCTTTTGAAGCAATGAACTCCGCGTGCCTCTCGAGGTGTCAGCGGGATGTGAGGCATTCCGTCAAAATGAGGCAGGGACCTAGGGCTTTCTATAAGGTCTCCACAGGGGATACAGACATCCCTTCATGTTGTGAGATGAAAGACGAGCCTGTATTCAAGCCAATGCAAGGAAATCCGGCCTCCTTTCAAGTTAGGGTTTCTCGCTGTATATTCCCCTTGAGGCAGCAAACTCGGGGTCCCTCCCACATACCTATTGCTGAGAGAAGCCTCCTCCTGAGGTGCTTCTGGAAAGTTGGCATACGTCTTGAGCCTAAGCCAGGGAATCAGCTCTAAGCTCGAGACGATTTGGGGTACACGGAGCATTCCTTGACTTGCTGTTCTGAAGTTGGTGTTCCTCGAGACTTGGGACAGTGTTCTCGAGCATGTCTGGAGTTGCCTGAAGGAAGTCGAGCCACCGGTCGTGTTGAATGGGGAATGGCGAATGTCTCTGGAGTCAATGCAGGGGAATCGGGCCTCATCTCGAGTTGATTTGGGGCACATGGAGCTGCTTTGCGTTGCTGGCGTGATCTCAGGGTCCGTCTAGACTGGTGACAGTGTTCTTGGGGACTGTCTCGAGATCCATTAAGCAAGTCGAAGCTCTTGTCTTGTTTGAATGGAACACGGAATAGCTCTGCATGCCCTGCATGGGAATGGGGCCTCACCTCGCCTCTAGGGGAAGACTCATGGTTTTTCTCGAGTTGCGGCGGGGACCTGGGGTATGTTCTCCACTTACGGCGGGGATGGCCCTTCAAAACACGAGTTTCTTCAGTGACGTCAGTACGCCTGTCTAGTAACGAGGGACACCTCAGGAATCTCTTCGAGGCTTGGCAGGGCAAAAGGGACGCTTCTCGAGGTGAGGCAGGGCACCCAAGTACCCTTTCCAGTAGCCACAGTGATTTGGGGATTCCTATCAGTATTCAAGAGGAGTCAGGCATCATCACCTTTTGAAGCAATGAATTCCGCGTGCCTCTCGATGTGTCAGCGGGATGTGAGGCATTGCATCAAAATGAGGCAGGGCCCTAGGGCTTTCTCTAAGGTCTCCACAGGGGATTCAGACATCCCTTCATGTTGTGAGATGAAAGACGAGCCTGTATTCAAGCCACTGCAAGGAAATCCGGCCTCCTTTCTAGTTAGGGCTTCTCGCTGTATATTCCCCTTGAGGCATCAAATTCGGGGTCCCTCCCACATACCTATTGCTGAGAGAAGCCTCCTCTTGAGGTGCTTCTGGGAAGTTGGCATACGTCTTGAGCCTAAGCCAGGGAATCAGCTCTCAGCTCGAGATGATTTGGGGTACACGGAGCATTCCGCGAGTTGCTGTGCTCAAGTTGGTGTTCCTCTAGACTTGGGACAGTGTTCTCGCGGCATCTCTGGAGTTGCCTAAAGGAAGTCGAGCCACCGGTCGTGTTGAATGGGGAACGGGAAATGGCTCTGGAGTCAAGGCAGGGGAATCGGGCCTCATGTCGAGTTGATTTGGGGCACATGGGGCTGCTTTTCGTTGCTGTGGTGAAGTCAGGGTCCGTCTAGACTGGTGACAGTGTTCTTATGGACGGTCTCGAGATCCAATAAGGAAGTCGAAGCTCCTGACTTGTATGAATGGGATCACGGAATAGGTCTGCATGCACTGCAGGGAATGGGACCTCATCTCGCCTCTAGGGGGAAGTCTCATGGTTTTTCTCGAGTTGCGGCGGGGACCTGCGGAATGTTCTCGACTTACAGCGGGGATGGCCCTTCAAAACACGTGTTTATTCAGTGATGTCAGGACTCCTGTGTAGTAAGGAGGGACACCTCAGGAATCTCTTCGAGGCTTGGCAGGGCAAAAGGGACGCTTCTCGAGGTGAGGCAGGGCACCCAAGATTCCTTTCCAGTAGCCACAGGGATTTTTGGATTCCTATCAGTATTCAAGAGGAGTCAGCCATCGTCACCTTTTGAAGCAATGAACTCCGCGTGCCTCTCGATGTGTCAACGGGATGTGAGGCATTCCATCAAAATGAGGCAGGGACCTAGGGTTTTCTCTAAGGTCTCCAAAGGGGATTCTGACATCTCTTCATGTTGTGAGATGAAAGACGAGCCTGTATTCTAGCCACTGCAAGGAAATCCGGCCTTCTTTCAAGTTAGGGCTTCTCTCTGTATATTCCCATTGAGGCAGCAACCTCGGGGTCTCTCCCACATATATATTGCTAAGAGAAGCCTCCTCTTGAGGTGCTTCTGGAAAGTTGCCATACGTCTTGAGCCTCAGCCAGGGAATCAGCTCTCATCTCGAGATGATTTGGGGTACACGGAGCATTCGTCGAGTTGCTGTGCTGAAGTTGGTCTTCCTCTAGACTTGGGACAGTGTTCTCGGGGCATCTCTGGAGTTGCCTGAAGGAAGTCGAGCCACCGGTCGTTTTGAATGCGGAACGGGAAATGGCTCTGGAGTCAATGCAGGGGAATCGGGCCTCATCTCGAGTTGATTTGGGGCACATGGAGCATCTTTGCTTTGCTGGGGTGACCTCAGGGTCCGTCTAGACTGGTGACAGTGTTATTGGGGACTGTCTCGAGATCCATTAAGCAAGTCGAAGCTCCTGACTTGTTTGAATGGGATCACGGAATAGCTCTGCATGCACTGCATGGGAATGGGGCCTCACCTCGCCTCTAGGGTGAAGTCTCATGGTTTTTCTCGAGTTGCGGCGGGGACCTGGGATATGTTCTCGACTTACGGCGGGGATGGCCCTTCAAAACACGAGTTTCTTCAGTGATGTCAGGACTCCTGTCTAGTAACGAGGGACACCTCAGGAATCTCTTCGAGGCTTGGCAAGGCAAAAGGGACGCTTCTCGAGGTGAAACAGGGCACCCAAGGACCCTTTCTTGTAGCCACAGGGATTTTGGGATTCCTATCAGTATTCAAGAGGAGTCAGGCATCGTCACCTTTTGAAGCAATGAACTCCGCGTGCCTCTCGAGGTGTCAACGGGATGTGAGGCATTCCGTCAAAATGAGGCAGGGACCTAGGGCTTTCTCTAAGGTCTCCACAGGGGATTCAGACATGCCTTCATGTTGTGAGATCAAAGACGAGCCTGTATTCAAGCCACTGCAAGGAAATCCGGCCTCCTTTCAAGTTAGGGCTTCTCGCTGTATATTCCTCTTGAGGCTGCAAACTCGGGGTCCCTCCCACATACATATTGCTGAGAAAAGCCTCCTCTTGAGGTGCTTCTGGAACGTTGGCATACGTCTTGAGCCTAAGCCAGAGAATCAGCTGTCATCTCGAGATGATTTGGAGTACACGGAGCATTCCTCGAGTTGCTCTGCTCAAGTTGATGTTCCTCTAGACTTGGGAGAGTGTTCTCGGGCCATCTCTGGAGTTTCCTGAAGGAAGTTGAGCCACCGGTCGTGTTGAATGCGGAAACGGAAATGGCTCTGGAGTCAATGCAGGGGAATCGGGCCTCATCTCGAGTTGATTTGGGGCACATGGAGCTGCTTTGCGTTCCTGTGGTGAACTCAGGGTCCGTCTAGACTGGTGACAGTGTTCTTATGGACGGTCTCGAGATCCATTAAGCAAGTCGAAGCTCCTGACTTGTATGAATGGATTCACGGAATAGCTCTGCATGCACTGCAGGGAATGGGACCTCATCTCGCCTCTAGGGGGAAGTCTCATGGTTTTTCTCGAGTTGCGGCGGGGACCTGGGGTATGTTCTCGACTTACGGAGGGGATGGCCCTTCAAAACACGTGTTTATTCAGTGACGTCAGGAATCCTATCTAGTAACGAGGGACACCTCAGGAATCTCTTCGAGGCTTGGAAGGGCAAAAGGGACGCTTCTCGAGGTGAGGCAGGGCACCCAAGTACCCTTTCCAGTAGCCACAGAAATTTTGGGATTCCTATCAGTATTCAAGAGGAGGCAGGCATCGTCACCTTTTGAAGCAATGAACTCCGCGTGCCTCTCGAGGTGTCAGCGGGATGTGAGGCATTCCGTCAAAATAAGGCAGGGACCTAGGGCTTTCTCTAAGGTCTCCACAGCGGATTCAGACATCCCTTCATGTTGTGAGATGAAAGACGTACCTGTATTCAAGCCACTGCAAGGAAATCCGGCCTCCTTTCAAGTTAGGGCTACTCGCTGTATATTCCCCTTGAGGCAGCAAACTCAGGGTCCCTCCACATACCTATTGCTGAGAGAAGCCTCCTCCTGAGGTGCTTCTGGAAGTGGGCATACGTCTTGATCCTAAGCCAGGGAATCAGCTCTCATCTCGAGACGGTTTGGGGTGCACAGAGCATTCCTCGAGTTGCTGTGCTGAAGTTGGTATTCCTCTAAACTTGGCACAGTGTTCTTGGGGCATCTCTGGAGTTTCCTGAAGGAAGTCGAGCCACCGGTCGTGTTGAATGGGGAACGGGGAAAGGCTCTGGAATCAATGCAGGGGAATCGGGCCTCATCTCGAGTTGATTTGGGGCACAAGGAGCTGCTTTGCATTGCTTGGGTGACCTCAGGGTCCGTCTAGACTGGTGACAGTGTTATTGGGGACTGTCTCGAGATCCATTAAGCAAGTCGAAACTCCTGAGTTGTTTGAATGGGATCACGGAATAGCTCTGCATGCACTGCATGGGAATGGGGCTTGACCTCGCCTCTAGGGGGATGTCTCATTGTTTTTCTCGAGTTGCGGCGGGGACCTGGGATATGTTCTCGACTTACGGCGGGGATGGCCCTTAAAAACACGTGTTTCTTCAGTGACGTCAGGACTCCTGTCTAGTAACGAGGGACACCTCAGGAATCACTTTGAGGCTTGACAGGGCAAAAGGGAGGCTTCTCGAGGTGAGGCAGGGCACCCAAGGACCCTTTCCAGTAGCCACAGGGATTTTGGGATTCCTATCAGTATTCAAGAGGAGTCAGGCATCGTCACCTTTTGAAGCAGTGAACTCCACGTGCCTCTCGTGGTGTCAACAGGATGTGTGGCATTCCGTCAAAATGAGGCAGGGACCTAGGATTTTCTCTAAGGTCTCCACAGGGGATTCAGACATCCCTTCATGTTGTGAGATGAAAGACGAGCCTGTATTAAAGCCACTGCAAGGAAACCCGGCCTTCTTTCAATTTAGGGCTTCTCGCTGTATATTCCCCTTGAGGCAGCAAACTCGGGGTCCCTCCCACATACCTATTGCTGAGAGAATCCTCTTCTTGAGGTGCTTCTGGAAACTTGGCATACGTCTTGAGACTAAGCCAGGGAATCAGCTCTCATCTCGAGACGATTTGGGGTACACGGAGCATTCCTCGAGTTGCTGTGCTGAAGTTGGTGTTCCTCTAGACTTGGGACAGTGTTCTCGGGGCATCTCTGGAGTTGCCTGAAGGAAGTCGAGCCACCGGTCGTGTTGAAAGGGGAACGGGGAATGGCTCTGGAGTCAATGCAGGCTAATCGGGCCTCATCTCGAGTTGATTTGGTGCACATGGAGCTGCTTTGCTTTGCTGGGGTGACCTCAGTGTCCGTCTAGACTGGTGACAGTGTTCTTGGGGACTGTCTCGAGATCCATTAAGCAAGTCGAAGCTCCTGACTTGTTTGAATGGGATCACGGAATAGCTCTGCATGCACTGCAGGGGAATGGGCCCTCATCTCGAATCTAGGGGGAAGTCTCATGGTTTTTCTCGAGTTTTGGCGGGGACCTGGGGTATGTTCTCGACTTACGGTGGGGATGGCCCTTCAAAACACGTGTTCCTTCAGTGACGTCAGGACTCATGTCTAATAACGAGGGACACCTCAGGAATCTCTTCGTGGCTTGGGAGGGCAAAAGGGACGCTTCTCGAGGTGAGGCAGGGCACCCAAGGACCCTTTCCAGTAGCCACAGGGATTTTGGGATTCCTATCAGTATTCAAGAGGAGGCAGGCATCGTCACCTTTTGAAGCAGTGAACTCCGCGTGCCTCTCGAGGTGTCAGCGGGATGTGAGGCATTCCGTCAAAATGAGGCAGGGACCTAGGGCTTTCTCTAAGGTCTCCACAGCGGATTCAGACATCCCTTCATGTTGTGAGATGAAAGACGAGCCTGTATTCAAGCTACTGCAAGGAAATCCGGCCTCCTTTCAGGTTAGGGCTTCTCGCTGTATATTACCCTTAAGGCAGCAAATTCGGGGTCCCTCCCACATACCTACTGCTGAGAGAAGCCTCCTCCTGAGGTGCTTCTGGAAGTTGGCATACGTCTTGAGCCTAAGGCAGGGAATCAGCTCTCATCTCGAGACGATTTGTGCTGCACGGAGCATTCCTCGAGTTGCTGTGCTGAAGATGGTGTTCCTCTAGACTTGGGACAGTGTTCTTGGGGCATCTCTGGAGTTGCCTGAAGGAAGTCGAGCCACCGGTCCAGTTGAATGGGGAACGGGGAATGGCTCTGGAGTCAATGCAGGGGAATCGGGCCTCATCTCGAGTTGACTTGGGGCACATGGAGCTGCTTTGCGTTCCTGGGGTGATTTCAGGGTCCGTCTAGACTGGTGACAGTGTTCTTGGGGACTGTCTCGAGATCCATTAAGCAAGTCGAAGCTCCTGACTTGTTTGAATGGGATCACCGAATAGCTCTGCATACACTGCATGGGAATGGGGTCTCACCTCGCCCCTAGGGGGAAGTCTCATGGTTTTTCTCGAGTTGCGGCGGGGACCTGGGGTATGTTCTCGACTTACGGTGGGGATGGCCCTTCAAAACACGTGTTCCTTCAGTGACGTCAGGACTCATGTCTAATAACGAGGGACACATCAGGAATCTCTTCGAGGCCTGGCAGGGCAAAAGGGACACTTCTCGAGGTGAGACAGGGCACCCAAGGACCGTTTCCATTAGCCACAGGTATTTTGGGATTCCTATCAGTATTCAAGAGGAGTCAGGCATCGTCACCTTTTGAAGCAATGAATTCCGCGTGCCTCTCTAGGTGTCAACGGGATGTGAGGCATTCCGTCAAAATGAGGCAGGGACCTAGGTCTTTCCTTAAGATCTCCACAGGGGATTCAGACATCCCTTCATGTTGTGAGATGTAAGACGAGCCTGTATTCAAGCCACTGCAAGGAAATCCGGCCTCCTTTCAAGTTAGGGCTTCTCGCTGTATATTCCCCTTGAGGCTGCAAACTCGGGGTGCCTCCCACATACCAATTGCTGAGAGAAGCCTCCTCCTGAGGTGCTTCTGGAAAGTTGGCATACGTCTTGAACCTAAGCCAGGGAATCAGCTCTCATCTGGAGACGATTTGGGGCACACGGAGCATTCCTCCAGTTGCTGTGCTGAAGTTGGTGTTCCTCTAGCCTTGGGACAGTCTTCTCGGGGCATCTGTGGAGGTGCCTGAAGGATGTCGAGCCACCGGTCGTGTTGAATGGGGAACGGGAAATGGCTCTGGAGTCAATGCAGGGGAATCGGGCCTCATCTCGAGTTGATTTGGGGCAGATGGAGCTGCTTTGCTTTGCTGGGGTGACCTCAGGGTCTGTTTAGACTGGTGACAGTGTTCTTGGGGACTGTCTCGAGATCCATTAAGCAAGTCGAAGCTCCTGACTTGTTTGAGTGGGATCAGGGAATAGCTCTGCATGCACTGCAGGGGAATGGGGCCTCATCTCGACTCTAGGTTGAAGTGTCATGGTTTTTCTCGAGTTGCGGCGGGAACCTGGGGTATGTTCTCACTTACGGCGGGGATGGCCCTTCAAAACACGTGTTTCTTCAGTGACGTCAGGACTCCTGTCTAGTAACGAGGGACACCTCAGTAATCTCTTCGAGGCTTGGCAGGGCAAAAGGGACGCTTCTCGAGGTGAGGCAGGGCACCCAAGGACCGTTTCCAGTAGCCACAGGGATTTCGGGATTCCTATCAGTATTCAAGAGGAGTCAGGCATCGTCACCTTTTGAAGCAATGAACTCTGCGTGCCTCCTGAGGTGTCAACGGGATGTGAGGCATTATGTCAAAATGAGGCAGGTACCTAGGATTTTCTCTAAGGTCTCCACAGGGGATTCAGACATCCCTTCATGTTGTGAGACGAAAGACGAGCCTGTATTCAAGCCACTGCAAGGAAACCGGCCTGCTTTCAATTTAGGGCTTCTCGTTGTATATTCCCCTTGAGGCAGCAAACTCGGGGTCCCTCCCACATACCTATTGCTGAGAGAATCCTCCTCTTGAGGTGCTTCTGGAAAGTTGGCATACTTCTTGAGACTAAGCCAGGGAATCAGCTCTCATCTCGAGACGATTTGTGGTACACGGAGCATTCCTCGAGTTGCTGTGCTGAAGTTGGTGTTCCTCTAGACTTGGGACAGTGTTCTCGGGGCATCTCTGGAGTTGCCTTAAAGAAGTCCAGCCACCGGTCGTGTTGAATGGGGAACGGGGAATGGCTCTGGGGTCAATGCATGGGAATCGGGCCTCATCTCGAGTTGATTTGGGGCACATGGAGCTGCTTTGCGTGGCTAGGGTGACCTCAGGATCCGTCTAGACTGGTGACAGTGTTCTTGGGGACTGTCTCGAGATCCATTAAGCAAGTCGAAGCTCCTGACTTGTTTGAATGGGATCACGGAATAGCTCTGCATGCACTGCATGGGAATGGGTCCTCACCTCGCCTCTAGGGGGAAGTCTCATGGTTTTTCTCGAGTTGCGGCAGGGACCTGGGGTATGTTCTCGACTTACGGCGGGGATGGCCCTTCAAAACACGTGTTTCTTCAGTGACGTCAAGACTCCTGTCTAGTAACGAGGGACACCTCAGGAATCTCTTCGAGGCCTGGCAGGGCAAATGGGACACTTCTCGAGGTGAGACAGGGCACCCAAGGACCCTTTCTTGTAGGCACAGGGATTTTGGGATTCCTATCAGTATTCAAGAGGAGTCAGGCATCGTCACCTTTTGAAGCAATGAACTCCGCGTGCCTCTCGAGGTGTCAACGGGATGTGAGGCAATCCGTCAAAATGAGGCAGGGACCTAGGGCTTTCTCTAAGGTCTCCACAGGGGATTCAGACATGCCTTCATGTTGTGAGATCAAAGACGAGCCTGTATTCAAGCCACTGCAAGGAAATCCGGCCTCCTTTCAAGTTAGGGCTTCTCGCTGTATATTCCCCTTGAGGCAGCGATCTCGGGGTCCCTCCCACATACATATTGCTGAGAGAAGCCTCCTCTTGAGGTGCTTCTGGAACGTTGGCATACGTCTTGAGCCTAAGCCAGGGAATCAGCTGTCATCTCGAGATGATTTGGAGTACACGGAGCATTCCTCGAGTTGCTGTGCTCAAGTTGATGTTCCTCTAGACTTGGGAGAGTGTTCTCGGGGCATCTCTGGAGTTTCCTGAAGGAAGTCGAGCCACCGGTCGTGTTGAATGCGGAAACGGAAATGGCTCTGGAGTCAATGCAGGGGAATCGGGCCTCATCTCGAGTTGATTTGGGGCACATGGAGCTGCTTTGCGTTGCTGTGGTGAACTCAGGGTCCGTCTAGACTGGTGACAGTGTTCTTATGGACGGTCTCGAGATCCATTAAGCAAGTCGAAGCTCCTGACTTGTATGAATGGATTCACGGAATAGCTCTGCATGCACTGCAGGGAATGGGACCTCATCTCGCCTCTAGGGGGAAGTCTCATGGTTTTTCTCGAGTTGCGACGGGGACCTGGGTTATGTTCTCGACTTACGGCGGGGATGGCCCTTCAAAACACGAGTTTCTTCAGTGACGTCAGGACTCCTGTCTAGTAACGAGGGACAACTCAGGAATCTCTTCGTGGCTTGGGAGGGCAAAAGGGACGCTTCTCGAGGTGAGGCAGGGCACCCAAGGACGCTTTCCAGTAGCCACAGGGATTTGGGGATTCCTATCAGTATTCAAGAGGAGGCAGGCATCGTCACCTTTTGAAGCAATGAACTCCGCGTGCCTCTCGAGGTGGCAGCGGGATGTGAGGCATTCCGTCAAAATGAGGCAGGGACCTAGGGCTTTCGCTAAGGTCTCCACAGCGGATTCAGACATCCCTTCATGTTGTGAGATGAAAGACGAGCCTGTATTCAAGCTACTGCAAGGAAATCCGGCCTGTTTCAAGTTAGGGCTTCTCGCTGTATATTACCCTTAAGGCAGCAAATTCGGGGTCCCTACCACATACGTACTGCTGAGAGAAGCCTCCTCCTGAGGTGCTTCTGGAAGTTGGCATACGTCTTGAGCCTAAGGCAGGGAATCAGCTCTCATCTCGAGACGATTTGGGCTGCACGGAGCATTCCTCGAGTTGCTGTGCTGAAGATGGTGTTCCTCTAGACTTGGGACAGTGTTCTTGGGGCATCTCTGGAGTTGCCTGAAGGAAGTCGAGCCGCCGGTCCTGTTGAATGGGGAACGGGGAATGGCTCTGGAGTCAATGCCGGGGAATCGGGCCTCATCTCGAGTTGACTTGGGGCACATGGAGCTGCTTTGCATTCCTGGGGTGATTTCAGGGTCCGTCTAGACTGGTGACAGTGTTCTTGGGGACTGTCTCGAGATCCATTAAGCAAGTCGAAGCTCCTGACTTGTTTGAATGGGATCACTGAATAGCTCTGCATACACTGCATGGGAATGGGGTCTCACCTCGCCTCTAGGGGGAAGTCTCATGGTTTTTCTCGAGTTGCGGCGGGGACCTGGGGTATGTTCTCGACTTACGGTGGGGATGGCCCTTCAAAACACGTGTTCCTTCAGTGACGTCAGGACTCATGTCTAATAAAGAGGGACACGTCAGGAATCTCTTCGAGGCTTGGCAGGGCCAAAGGGACGCTTTTCCAGGTGAGGGAGGGCACCCAAAGACCCTTTCCAGTAGCCACAGGGATTTTGGGATTCCTATCAGTATTCAACAGGGGTCAGACATCGTCACCTTTTGAAGCAATGAACTCCGCGTGCCTCTCGAGTTGTCAACGGGATGTGAGGCATTTCGTCAAAATGAGGCTGGGACCTAGGGCTTTCTCTTAGGTCTCCACAGGGGATTCAGACATCCCTTCATGTTGTGAGATGAAAGACGAGCCTGTATTCAAGCCACTGCAAGGAAATCCGGCCTCCTTTCAAGTTAGGGCTTCTCGCTGTATATTCCCCTTGAGGCAGCGATCTCGGGGTCCCTCCCACATACCTATTGCTGAGAGAAGCCTCCTATTGAGGTGTTTCTGGAAAGTTGGCATAGGTCTTGAGCCTAAGCCAGGGAATCAGCTCTCATCTCGAGACGATTTGAGGCACACGGAGCATTCCTCGAGTTGCTGTGCTGAAGTTGGTGTTCCTCTAGACTTGGGACAGTGTTCTCGGGGCATTTCTGGAGTTGCCTGAAGGAAGTCGAGCCACCGTTCGTGTTGAATGGGGAAAGGGAAATGGCTCTGGAGTCAATGCAGGGGAATCGGGCCTCATCTCGAGATGATTTGGGGCACATGGAGCTGCTTTGCGTTGCTGGGGTGACCTCAGGGTCCGTCTAGACTGGTGACAGTGTTCTTGGGGACTGTCTCGAGATCCATTAAGCAAGTCGAAGCTCCTGACTTATTTGAATGGGATCACGAAATAGCTCTGCATGCACTGCAGGGGAATGGGGCCTCATCTCGCCTCTAGGGGGAAGTCTCATGGTTTTTCCCGAGTTGCGGCGGGGACCTGGGGTATGTTCTCGACTTACGGCTTGGAGGGCCCTTCAAAGGCGAGTTTCTTCAGTGACGTCAGGACTCCTGTCTAGTAATGAGGGACACCTCAGAAATCTCTTCGAGGCTTGGCAGGGCAAAAGGGACGCTTCTCGAGGTGAGGCAGGGCACCCAAGGACCCTTTCCAGTAGCTACAGTGATTTGGGGATTCCTATCAGTATTCAAGAGGAGTCAGGCATCGTCACCTTTTGAAGCAATGAATTCCCGGTGCCTCTCGAGGTGTCAACGGGATGTGAGGCATTCCGTCAAAATGATCCAGGGACCTAGGGCTTTCTCTAAGGACTCCACAGAGGATTCAGAAATCCCTTCATGTTGTGAGATGAAAGACGAGCCTGTATTCAAACCACTGCAAGGAAATCCGGCCTCCTTTCAAGTTAGGGCTTCTCGCTGTATATTCCCCTTGAGGCTGCTAACTCGGGGTCCCTCCCACATATGTATTGCTGAGAGAAGCCTCCTCCTGAGGTGCTTCTGGAAAGTTGGCATACGTCTTGAGCCTAAGCCAGGGTATCAGCTCTCATCTCGAGACGATTTGGCGTACATGGAGCATTCCTCGAGTTGCTGTGCTGAAGTTGGTTTTCCTCTAGACTTGGGACAGTGTTCTCGGGGCATCTCTGGAGTTGGCTGAAGGAAGTCGATCCACTGGTCGTGTTGATTGGGGAACCGGGAATGGCTATGGAGTCAATGCAGGGCAATCGGGCCTCATCTCGAGTTGATTTGGGGCACATCGAGCTGCTTTGCGTTGCTTGGGTGACCTCAGGGTCCGTCTAGACTGGTGACAGTGTTCTTGGGGACTGTCTCGAGATCCATTAAGCAAGTCGAAGCTCCTGACTTGTTTGAATGGGATCACGGAATAGCTCTGCATGCACTGCATGGGAATGGGGCCTCACCTCGCCTCTAGGGGAAGACTCATGGTTTTTCTTGAGTTGCGGCGGGGACCTGGGGTATGTTCTCCACTTACGGCGGGGATGGCCCTTCAAAACACGAGTTTCTTCAGTGACGTCAGTACGCCTGTCTAGTAACGAGGGACACCTCAGGAATCTCTTCGAGGCTTGGCAGGGCAAAAGGGACGCTTCTCGAGGTAGGCAGGGCACCCAAGTACCCTTTCCAGTAGCCACAGTGATTTGGGGATTCCTATCAGTATTCAAGAGGAGTCAGGCATCGTCACCTTTTGAAGCAATGAACTCCGCGTGCCTCTCGAGGTGTCAACGGGATGTGAGGCATTGCATCAAAATGAGGCAGGGCCCTAGGGCTTTCTCTAAGGTCTCCACAGGGGATTCAGACATCCCTTCATGTTGTGAGATGAAAGACGAGCCTGTATTCAAGCCACTGCAAGGAAATCCGGCCTCCTTTCTAGTTAGGGCTTCTCGCTGTATATTCCCCTTGAGGCATCAAATTCGGGGTCCCTCCCACATACCTATTGCTGAGAGAAGCCTCCTCTTGAGGTGCTTCTGGGAAGTTGGCATACGTCTTGAGCCTAAGCCAGGGAATCAGCTCTCAGCTCGAGATGATTTGGGGTACACGGAGCATTCCTCGAGTTGCTGTGCTCAAGTTGGTGTTCCTCTAGACTTGGGACAGTGTTCTCGCGGCATCTCTGGAGTTGCCTAAAGGAAGTCGAGCCACCGGTCGTGTTGAATGGGGACGGGAAATGGCTCTGGAGTCAAGGCAGGGGAATCAGGCCTCATCTCGAGTTGATTTGGGCACATGGAGCTGCTTTTCGTTGCTGTGGTGAAGTCAGGGTCCGTCTAGACTGGTGACAGTGTTCTTATGGACGGTCTCGAGATCCAATAAGGAAGTCGAAGCTCCTGACTTGTATGAATGGGATCACGGAATAGGTCTGCATGCACTGCAGGGAATGGGACCTCATCTCGCCTCTAAGGGGAAGTCTCATGGTTTTTCTCGAGTTGCGGCGGGGACTTGGGGTATGTTCTCGACTTAGGGCGGGGATGGCCCTTCAAAATACGTGTTTATTCAGTGACGACAGGACTCCTGTGTAGTAACGAGGGACACCTCTGGAATCTCTTCGAGGCTTGGCAGGGCAAAAGGGACGCTTCTCGAGGTGAGGCAGGGCACCCAAGTACCCTGTCCAGTAGCCACAGGGATTTTGGGATTCCTATCAGTATTCAAGAGGAGTCAGGCATCGTCACCTTTTGAAGCAATGAACTCCGCGTGCCTCTCGAGGTGTCAGCGGGATGTGAGGCATTCCGTCAAAATGAGGCAGGGACCTAGGGCTTTCTATAAGGTCTCCACAGGGGATTCAGACATCCCTTCATGTTGTGAGATGAAAGACGAGCCTGTATTCAAGCCAATGCAAGGAAATCCGGCCTCCTTTCAAGTTAGGGTTTCTCGCTGTATATTCCCCTTGAGGCAGCAAACTCGGGATACCTCCCACATACCTATTGCTGAGAGAAGCCTCCTCCTGAGGTGCTTCTGGAAAGTTGGCATACGTCTTGAGCCTAAGCCAGGGAATCAGCTCTCATCTCGAGACGATTTGGGGTACACGGAGCATTCGTCGAGTTGCTGTGCTGAAGTTGGTGTTCCTCTAGACTTGGGACAGTGTTCTCGGGGCATCTCTGGAGTTGCCTGAAGGAAGTCGAGCCACCGGTCGTTTTGAATGCGGAACGGGAAATGGCTCTGGAGTCAATGCAGGGGAATCGGGCCTCATCTCGAGTTGATTTGGGGCACATGGAGCATCTTTGCGTTGCTGGGGTGACCTCAGGGTCCGTATAGACTGGTGACAGTGTTATTGGGGACTGTCTCGAGATCCATTAAGCAAGTCGAAGCTCCTGACTTGTTTGAATGGGATCACGGAATAGCTCTGCATGCACTGCATGGGAATGGGGCCTCACCTCGCCTCTAGGTTGAAGTCTCATGGTTTTTCTCGAGTTGCGGCGGGGACCTGGGATATGTTCTCGACTTACGGCGGGGATGGCCCTTCAAAACACGAGTTTCTTCAGTGATGTCAGGACTCCTGTCTAGTAACGAGGGACACCTCAGGAATCTCTTCCAGGCTTGGCAGGGCAAAAGGGACACTTCTCGAGGCGAGGCAGGGCACCCAAGAACCCTTTCTTGTAGGCACAGGGATTTTGGGATTCCTATCAGTATTCAAGAGGAGTCAGGCATCGTCACCTTTTGAAGCAATGAACTCCGCGTGCCTCTCGAGGTGTCAACGGGATGTGAGGCAATCCGTCAAAATGAGGCAGGGACCTAGGGCTTTCTCTAAGGTCTCCACAGGGGATTCAGACATGCCTTCATGTTGTGAGATCAAAGACGAGCCTGTATTCAAGCCACTGCAAGGAAATCCGGCCTCCTTTCAAGTTAGGGCTTCTCGCTGTATATTCCCCTTGAGGCAGCGATCTCGGGGTCCCTCCCACATACATATTGCTGAGAAAAGCCTCCTCTTGAGGTGCTTCTGGAACGTAGGCATACGTCTTGAGCCTAAGCCAGGGAATCAGCTGTCATCTCGAGATGATTTGGAGTACACGGAGCATTCCTCGAGTTGCTGTGCTCAAGTTGATGTTCCTCTAGACTTGGGAGAGTGTTCTCGGGGCATCTCTGGAGTTTCCTGAAGGAAGTCGAGCCACCGGTCGTGTTGAAGGCGGAAACGGAAATGGCTCTGGAGTCAATGCAGGGGAATCGGGCCTCATCTCGAGTTGATTTGGGGCACATGGAGCTGCTTTGCGTTGCTGTGGTGAACTCAGGATCCGTCTAGACTGGTGACAGTGTTCTTATGGACGGTCTCGAGATCCATTAAGCAAGTCGAAGCTCCTGACTTGTATGAATGGATTCACGGAATAGCTCTGCATGCACTGCAGGGAATGGGACCTCATCTCGCCTCTAGGGGGAAGTCTCATGGTTTTTCTCGAGTTGCGACGGGGACCTGGGTTATGTTCTCGACTTACGGCGGGGATGGCCCTTCAAAACACGAGTTTCTTCAGTGACGTCAGGACTCCTGTCTAGTAACGAGGGACAACTCAGGAATCTCTTCGTGGCTTGGGAGGGCAAAAGGGACGCTTCTCGAGGTGAGGCAGGGCACCCAAGGACCCTTTCCAGTAGCCACAGGGATTTTGGGATTCCTATCAGTATTCAAGAGGAGGCAGGCATCGTCACCTTTTGAAGCAATGAACTCCGCGTGCCTCTCGAGGTGTCAGCGTGATGTGAGGCATTCCGTCAAAATGAGGCAGGGACCTAGGGCTTTCGCTAAGGTCTCCACAGCGGATTCAGACATCCCTTCATGTTGTGAGATGAAAGACGAGCCTGTATTCAAGCTACTGCAAGGAAATCCGGCCTGTTTCAAGTTAGGGCTTCTCGCTGTATATTACCCTTAAGGCAGCAAATTCGGGGTCCCTCCCACATACGTACTGCTGAGAGAAGCCTCCTCCTGAGGTGCTTCTGGAAGTTGGCATAGGTCTTGAGCCTAAGGCAGGGAATCAGCTCTCATCTCGAGACGATTTGGGCTGCACGGAGCATTCCTCGAGTTGCTGTGCTGAAGATGGTGTTCCTCTGGACTTGGGACAGTGTTCTTGGGGCATCTCTGGAGTTGCCTGAAGGAAGTCGAGCCACCGGTCCTGTTGAATGGGGAACGGGGAATGGCTCTGGAGTCAATGCAGGGGAATCGGGCCTCATCTCGAGTTGACTTGGGGCACATGGAGCTGCTTTGCGTTCCTGGGGTGATTTCAGGGTCCGTCTAGACTGGTGACAGTGTTCTTGGGGACTGTCTCGAGATCCATTAAGCAAGTCGAAGCTCCTGACTTGTTTGAATGGGATCACCGAATAGCTCTGCATACACTGCATGGGAATGCGGTCTCACCTCGCCTCTAGGGGGAAGTCTCATGGTTTTTCTCGAGTTGCGGCGGGGACCTGGGGTATGTTCTCGACTTACGGTGGGGATGGCCCTTCAAAACACGTGTTCCTTCAGTGACGTCAGGACTCATGTCTAATAAAGAGGGACACCTCAGGAATCTCTTCGAGGCTTGGCAGGGCAAAAGGGACACTTCTCGAGGTGAGACAGGGCACCCAAGGACCATTTCCAGTAGCCACAGGGATTTTGGGATTCCTAGCAGTATTCAAGAGGAGTCAGGCATCGTCACCTTTTGAAGCAATGAATTCCGCGTGCCTCTCTAGGTGTCAACGGGATGTGAGGCATTCCGTCAAAATGAGGCAGGGACCTAGGTCTTTCCTTAAGATCTCCACAGGGGATTCAGACATCCCTTCATGTTGTGAGATGTAAGACGAGCCTGTATTCAAGCCACTGCAAGGAAATCCGGCCTCCTTTCAAGTTAGGGCTTCTCGCTGTATATTCCCCTTGAGGCTGCAAACTCGGGGTGCCTCCCACATACCTATTGCTGAGAGAAGCCTCCTCCTGAGGTGCTTCTGGAAAGTTGGCATACGTCTTGAGCCTAAGCCAGGGAATCAGCTCTCATCTCGAGACGATTTGGGGCACACGGAGCATTCCTCGAGTTGCTGTGCTGAGTTGGTGTTCCTCTAGCCTTGGGACAGTTTTCTCGAGGCATCTCTGTAGGTGCCTGAAGGAAGTCGATCCACCGGTCGTGTTGAATGGGGAACGGGAAATGGCTCTTGAGTCAATGCAGGGGAATCGGGCCTCATCTCGAGTTGATTTGGGGCAGATGGAGCTGCTTTGTTTTGCTGGGGTGACCTCAGGGTCTGTTTAGATTGGTGACAGTGTTCTTGGGGACTGTCTCGAGATCCATTAAGCAAGTCGAAGCTCCTGACTTGTTTGAATGGGATCAGGGAATAGCTCTGCATGCACTGCAGGGGAATGGGGCCTCATCTCGACTCTAGGTTGAAGTGTCATGGTTTTTCTCGAGTTGCGGCGGGGACCTGGGGTATGTTCTCGACTTAGGGCGGGGATGGCCCTTCAAAACACGAGTTTCTTCAGTGATGTCAGGACTCCTGCCTAGTAACGAGGGACACCTCAGGAATCTCTTCGAGGCTTGGCAGGGCAAAAGGGACGCTTCTCGAAGTGAGGCAGGGCACCGAAGGACCCTTTCCAGTAGCCACAGGGATTTTGGGATTCCTATTAGTATTCAAGATGAGTCAGGCATCGTCACCTTTTGAAACAATGAACTCCGGGTGCCTCTCAAGTTGTCAATGGGATGTGAGGCATTCTGTCAAAATGAGGCAGGGACATAGAATTTTCTCTGAGGTCTCCACAGCGGATTCAGACATCCCTTCATGTTGTGAGATGAAAGACGAGCCTGTATTCAAGCCACTGCAAGGAAACCCGGCCTGCTTTCAATTTAGGGCTTCTCGCTGTATATTCCCCTTGAGGCAGCAAACTCGGGGTCCCTCCCACATACCTATTGCTGAGAGAATCCTCCTCTTGAGGTGCTTCTGGAAAGTTGGCATACGTCTTGAGCCTAAGCCAGGGAATCAGCTCTCATCTCGAGACGATTTGGGGTACACGGAGCATTCCTCGAGTTGCTGTGCTGAAGTTGGTGTTCCTCTAGACTTGGGACAGTGTTCTCGGGGCATCTCTGGAGTTGCCTTAAAGAAGTCCAGCCACGGTCGTGTTGAATGGGGAACGAGGAATGGCTCTGGAATCAATGCAGGGGAATCGGGCCTCATCTCGAGTTCATTTGGGGCACATGGAGCTGCTTTGCGTTGCTGGGGTGACCTCAGGGTCCGTCTAGACTGGTGACAGTGTTCTTGGGAACTGTCTCGAGATCCATTAAGCAAGTCGAAGCTCCTGACTTGTTTGAATGGGATCACGGAATAGCTCTGCATGCACTGCAGGGGAATGGGGCCTCACCTCGAATCTAGGGGGAAGTCTCATGGTTTTTCTCGAGTTCCGGCAGGGACCTGGGGTATGTTCTCGACTTACGGCGGGAATGGCCCTTCAAAACACGTGTTTCTTCAGTGACGTCAGGACTCCTGTCTAGTAACGAGGGACACCTCAGGAATCTCTTCGAGGCATGGCAGGGCAAAAGAGACACTTATCGAGGTGAGACAGGGCACCCAAGGACCATTTCCAGTAGCCACAGGGATTTTGGGATTCCTATCAGTATTCAAGAGGAGTCAGTCATCGTCACCTGTTGAAGCAATGAACCCCGCGTGCCTCTCTAAGTTTCAACGTGATGTGAGGCATTCCGTCAAAATGAGGCAGGTACCTAGGGCTTTCTCTAAGGTCTCCACAGGGGATTCAGACATCCCTTCATGTTGTGAGATGTAAGACGAGCCTGTATTCCAGCCACTGCAAGGAAATCCGGCCTGCTTTCAAGTTAGGGCTTCTCGCTGTATATTCCCCTTGAGGCAGCAAACTCGGGGTCCCTCCGACATACCTATTGCTGAGAGAAGCCACCTCTTCATGTGCTTCTGGAAAGTTGGCATACGTCTTCATCCTAAACCAGGGAATCAGCTCTCATCTCGAGACGTTTTGGGATACACGGAGCATTCCTCGAGTTGCTGTGCTGAAGTTGGTGTTCCTCTAGACTTGGGACAGTGTTCTCGGGGCATCTCTGGAGTTGCCTGAAGGAAGTCGAGCCCCCGGTCGTGTGGAATGAGAAACGGGGAATGGCTCTGGAGTCAATGCAGGGGAATTGGGCCTCATCTCGAGTTGAATTGGGGCACATGGAGCAGCTTTGCTTTGCTTGGGTGACCTCAGGTTCCGTCTAGACTGGTGACAGTGTTCTTGGGGAATGTCTCGAGATCCGTTAAGCACGTCGAAGCTCCTGACTTGTTTGAATGGGATCACGGAATAGCTCTGCATGCACTGCTGGGGAATGTGGCCTCATCTCGCCTCTAGGTGGAAGTCTCATGGTTTTTCTCGAGTTGCGGAGGGGAATTGGGGTATGTTCTCGACTTACGGCGGGGATGGCCCTTCAAAACACGAGTTTCTTCAGTGACGTCAGGACTCCTGTGTAGTAACGAGGGACACCTCAGGAATCTCTTCGAGGCTTGGCAGGGCAAAAGGGACACTTCTCGAGGTGAGACAGGGCACCCAAGGACCATTTCCAGTAGCCACAGGGATTTTGGGATTCCTATCAGTATTCAAGAGGAGTCAGGCATCGTCACCTTTTGAAGCAATGAACTCCGCGTGCCTGTCGAGGTGTCAACGGGATATGAGGCATTCCGTCAAAATGAGGCAGGGACCTAGGGCTTTCACTAAGGTCTCCACAGGGGATTCAGACATCCCTTCATATTTTGAAATCAAAGACAAGCCTGTATTCAAGCCACTCTCATTAAATCCGGCCTCCTTTCAAGTTAGGGCTTCTCGCTGTATATTCCACTTGAGGCAGCGATCTCGGGGTCCCTCCCACATAGCTATTGCTGAGAGAAGCCTCCTGCTGAGGTGCTTCTGGAAAGTTGGCATAGTTCTTAAGCCTAAGCCAGGGAATCAGCTCTCATCTCGAGACGATTTGGGGTACTAGGAGCATTCCTCGAGTTGCTGTGCTGAAGTTGGTGTTCCTCTAGACTTGGGACAGTGTTTTCAGGGCATCTCTGGAGTTACCTGAAGGAAGTCGAGCCACCGGTCGTGTTGAATGGGGAAAGGGGAAAGGCTCTGGAGTCAAGGCAGGGGAATCGGGCCTCATCTCGACTTGATCTGGGGCACATGGAGCTGCTTTGCGTTGCTGGGGTGACCTCAGGGTCCGTTTAGACTGGTGACAGTGTTCTTGGGGACTGTCTCGAGATCCATTAAGCAAGTCGAAGCTCCTGACTTGTTTGAATGGGATCACGGAATAGCTTTTCATGCACTGCAGGGGAATGGGGCCCCATCTCGAGTCTAGGGGGAAGTCTCATGGTTTTTCTCGAGTTGCGGCGGGGACCTGGGTTATGTTCTCGACTTACGGCGGCATGGCCCTTCAAAACACGAGTTTCTTCAGTGACGTCTGGACTCCTGTCTAGTAACGAGGGACACCTCAGGAATCTCTTCGAGGCTTGGCAGGGCAAAAGGGACGCTTCTCGAGGTGAGGCAGGGCACCCAAGGACCCTTTCCAGTAGCCACATAGATTTTGGGATTCCTATCAGGATTCAAGAGGAGTCAGGCATAGTCACCTTTTGAAGCAATGAACTCCGCGTGCCTCTCGAGGTGTCAACCGGTTTTGAGGCACTCCGTCAAAATGAGGCAGGGACCTTGGGCTTTCTCTAAGGTCTCCACAGGGGATTCAGACCTCCCTTCATGTTGTTAGATGAAAGACGAGCCTGTATTCAAGCCACTGCAAGGAAACCCGGCCTGCTTTCAATTTAGGGCTTCTCACTGTATATTCCCCTTGAGGCAGCAAACTCGGGGTCCCTCCCACATACCTATTGCTGAGAGAAGCTTCCTCCTGAGGTGCTTCTGGAAAGTTGGCATACGCCTTGAGCCTAAGCCAGGGAATCAGCTCTCATCTCGAGACGATTTCGGGTACACGGAGCATTCCTCGAGTTGCTGTGCTGAAGTTGGTGTTCCTCAAGACTTGGGACAGTGTTCTCAGGGCATCTCTGGAGTTGCCTGAAGGAAGTCGAGCCACCGGTCGTGTTGAATGGGGAACGGGGAATGGCTATGGAGTTAATGCAGGGAATCGGGCCTCATCTAGAGTTGATATGGTGCACATGGAGCTGCTTTGCGTTGCTGGGGTGACCTCAGGGTCCGTCTAGACTTGTGACAGTGTTCTTGGGGACTGTCTCGAGATCCATTAAGCAAGTCAAAGCTCCTGACTTGTTTGAATGGGATGACGGAATTGTTCTGCATGCACTGCATGGGAATGGGGCCTCACCTCGCCTCTAGGGGGAAGTCTCATGGTTTTTCTCGAGTTGCGGCGGGGACCTGGGGTATGTTCTCGACTTATGGCGGGGATGGCCCTTCAAAACTCGTGTTTATTCAGTGACGTCAGGACTCCTGTCTAGTAACGAGGGACACCTCACGAAACTCTTCGAGGCTTGGCAGGGCAAAAGGGACACTTCTCGAGGTGAGGCAGGGCACCCAAGGACCCTTTCCTGTAGCCACAGGGATTTTGGGATTCCTATGAGTATTCAAGAGGAGTCAGGCATCGTCACCTTTTGAAGCAATGAACTCCGCGTGCCTCTCGATGTGTCAGCGGGTTATGAGGCATTCCATCAAAATGAGGCAGGGACCTAGGGCTTTCTCTAAGGTCTCCACAGGGGATTCAGACATCCCTTCATGTTGTGAGATGAAAGACGAACCTGTTTTCAAGCCACTGCAAGGAAATCCGTCCTCCTTTCAAGTTAGGGCTTCTCGCTGTATATTCCTCTTGAGGCAGCAAACTCGGGGTCCCTCCCACATACCTATTGCTGAGAGAAGCCACCTCTTGAGGTGCTTCTGGAAAGTTGGCATAAGTCTTGAGCCTAAGCCAGGGAATCAGCTCTCATCTAGAGACGTTTTGGGGTACACGGAGCATTCCTCGAGCTGCTGTGCTGAAGTTGGTGTTCCTCTAGACTTGGGACAGTGTTCTCGGGGCATCTCTGGAGTGGCCTGAAAGAAATCGAGCCACCGGTCATGTTGAATGGGGAACGGGGAATGGCTCTGGAGTCAATGCAGGCGAATCGGGCCTCATCTCGAATTGATTTGGGGCACATGGAACTGCTTTGCTTTGCTGGGTTGACCTCAGGGTCCGTCTAGACTGGTGACAGTGTTCTTGGGGACTGTCTCGAGATACATTAAGCAAGTCGAAGCTCCTGACTTGTTTGAATGGGATCACGGAATAGCTCTGCATGCACTGCAGGGGAATGGGGCCTCATCTCGCCTCTAGGGGAAGTCTCATGGTTTTTCTCGAGTTGCGGCGGGGACCTGGGTTATGTTCTCGACTTACGGCGGGGATGGCCCTTCAAAACACGAGTTTCTTCAGTGATGTCAGGACTCCTGTCTAGTAACGAGGGACACCTCAGGAATCTCTTCGAGGCTTGGCAGGGCAAAAGGGACGCTTCTCGAGGTGAGTCAGGGCACCCAAGGACCCTTTCCAGTAGCCACAGAGATTTTGGGATTCCTATCAGTATTCAAGAGGAGTCAGGCACCGTCACCTTTTGAAGCAATGAACTCCGCGTGCCTCTCGAGGTGTCAGCGGGATGTGAGGCATTCCGTCAAAATGAGGCAGGGACCTAGGGCATTCTCTAAGGTCTCCACAGGGGATTCAGACATCCCTTCATGTTGTGAGATGAAAGACGAGCCTGTATTCAAGCCACTGCAAGGAAATCCGGCCTCCTTTCAAGTTAGGGCTTCTCGCTGTATATTCACCTTGAGGCAGCAAACTCGGGGTCCCTCCCACATACCTATTGCTGAGAGAAGCCACCTCTTGAGGTGCTTCTGGATAGTTGGCATACGTCTTGAGCCTAAGCCAGGGAATAAGCTCTCATCTCGAGACGATTTGGGGCACACGGAGCATTCCTCGAGTTATTGTGCTGAAGTTGGTGTTCCTCTAGACTTGGGACAGTGTTCTCGGGGCATCTCTGGAGTTACCTGAAGGAAGTCGAGCCACCGGTCATGTTGAATGGGGAACGGGGAATGACTCTGGAGTCAATTCAGGCGAATCGGGCCTCATCTCGAGTTGATTTGGGGCACATGGAGCTGCTTTGCGTTGCTGGAGTGACCTCAGGGTCCGTCTAGACTTGTGATAGTGTTCTAGGGGACTGTTTCGAGAACCAATAAGCAAGTCGAAGCTCCTGACTTGTTTGAATGGGGTCACGGAATAGCTCTGCATGCACTGCAGGGGAATGGTGCCTCATGTCGCCTCTAGGGGGAAGTCTCATGGTTTTTCTCGAGTTGCGGCGGGGACCTGGGGTATGTTCTCGACTTACGGCGGGGATGGCCCTTCAAAACACGAGTTTCTTCAGTGACGTCAGGACTCCTGTCTAGTAACGAGGGACACCTCAGGAATCTCTTTTTGGCTTGGCAAGGCAAAAGGAGGCTTCTCGAGGTGAGGCAGGGCACCCAAGGACCCTTTCCAGTAGCCACAGGGATTTTGGGATTCCTATCAGTATTCACGAAGAGTCAGGTACCGTCACCTTTTGAAGCAATGAACTCCGCGTGCCTCTCGAGGTGTCAGCGGGATGTGAGGCATTCCGTCAAAATGAGGCAGGGACCTAGGGCTTTCTCTAAGGTCTCCACAGGGGATTCAGACATCCCTTCATGTTGTGAGATGAAAGACGAGCCTGTATTCAAGCCACTGCAAGGAAATCCGGCCTCCTTTCAAGTTAGGGCTTCTCGCTGTATATTCCCCTTGAGGCAGCAAACTCGGGGTCCCTCCCACATACCTATTGCTGAGAGAAGCCACCTCTTGAGGTGCTTCTGGAAAGTTGGCATACGTCTTGAGCCTAAGCCAGGGAATCAGCTCTCATCTCGAGAAGATTTGGGGTACACGGAGCATTCCTCGAGTAGCTGTGCTGAAGTTGGTGTTCCTCTAGACTTGGGACAGTTTTCTCCGGGCATCTCTCGAGTTGCCTGAAGGAAGTCGAGCCACCGGTCTTGTTGAATGGGGAACGGGGAATGGCTCTGGAGTCAATGCAGGGGAATGGGGCCTCATCTCGAGTTGGTTTGGGGCACATGGAGCTGCTTTGCGTTGCGGGGTGACCTCAGGGTCCGTCTAGACTGGTGACCTTGCGGACTGTCTCGAGATCCATTAAGCATGTCGAAGCTCCTGACTTGTTTGAATGGGATCACGGAATAGCTCTGCATGCACTGCAGGGGAATGGGGCCTCATCTCGCCTCTAGGGGGATGTCTCATGGTTTTTCTCGAGTTTTGGCGGGGACCTGGGGTATGATCTCGACTTACCGCGGGGATGGCCCTTCAAAACACGAGTTTCTTCAGTGAGGTCAGGACTCCTGTCTAGTAACGAGGGACACCTCAGGAATCTCTTCGAGGCTTTGCAAGGCAAAAGGGACGCTTCTCGACGTGAAGCAGGGCACCCAAGGACCCTTTCCAGTAGCCACAGGGATTTTGGGATTCCTATCAGTATTCAAGAGGAGTCAGGCATCGTCACCTTTTGAAGCAGTGAACTCCGCGTGCCTCTCGAGGTGTCAACGGGATGTGAGGCACTCCGTCAAAAAGAGGCAGGGACCTTGGGCTTTCTCTAAGGTCTCCACAGGGGATTCAGACCTCCCTTCATGTTGTTAGATGAAAGACGAGCCTGTATTCAAGCCACTGCAAGGAAATCCGGCCTCCTTTCAAGTTAGGGCTTCTCGCTGTATATTCCCCTTGAGGCAGCAAACTCGGGGTCCCTCCACATACCTATTGCTGAGAGAAGCCACCTCTTGAGGTGCTTCTGGAAAGTTGGCATACGTCTTGAGCCTAAGCCAGGGAATCAGCTCTCATCTCGAGACGATTTGGGGTACACGGAGCATTCCTCGAATCGCTGTGCTGAAGTTGCTGTTCCTGTAGACTTGGGACAGTGTTCTCGGGGCATCTCTGGAGTTGCCTGAAGGAAGTCGAGCCACCGGTCGTGTTGAATGGGGAACGGGGAATGGCTCTGGGGTCAATGCAGGGGAATGGGGCCTCATCTCGAGTTGGTTTGGGGCACATGGAGCTGCTTTGCGTTGCGGGGTGACCTCAGGGTCCGTCAAGACTGGTGACCTTGCGGACTGTCTCGAGATCCATTAAGCATGTCGAAGCTCCTGACTTGTTTGAATGGGATCACGGAATAGCTCTGCATGCACTGCAGGGGAATGGGGCCTCATCTCGCCTCTAGGGGGAAGTCTCATGGTTTTTCTCGAGTTGCGGCGGGGACCTGGGGTATGTTCTCGACTTACGGCGGGGATGGCCCTTCAAAACACGAGTTTCTTCAGTGACGTCAGGACTCCTGTCTAGTAACGAGGGACACCTCAGGAATCTCTTCGAGGCTTGGCAGGGCAAAAGGGACGCTTCTCGAGGTGAGGCAGGGCACCCAAGGACCCCTTCCAGTAGCCACAGGGATATTGGGATTCCTATCAGTATTCAAGAGGAGTCAGGCATCATGACCTTTTGAAACAATGAACTCCGGGTGCCTCTCGAGGTGTCAATGGGATGTGAGGCATTCCGTCAAAATGAGGCAGGGACCTAGGGCATTCTCTAATGTCTCCACAGGGGATTCAGACATCCCTTCATGTTTTGAGATCAAAGACGAGCCTGTATTCAAGCCACTGCCATTAAATCCGGCCTCCTTTCAAGTTAGGGCTTCTCGCTGTATATTCCACTTGAGGAAGCGATCTCGGGGTCCCTCTCACATAACTATTGCTGAGAGAAGCCTCCTCCTGAGGTGCTTCTGGAAAGTTGGCATACGTCTTGAGCCTAAGCCAGGGAATCAGCTCTCATCTCGAGATGTTTTGGGGTACACGGAGCATTCCTCGAGTTGCTGTGCTGAAGTTGGTGTTCCTCTAGACTTGGGACAGTGTTCTCGGGGCATCTCTGGAGTTGCCTGAAGGAAGTCGAGCCACCGGTCGTGTTGAATGGGGAACGGGGAATGGCTCTGGAGTCAATGCAGGGGAATCGGGCCTCATCTCGAGTTGATTTGGGGCACATGGAGCTGCTTTGCGTTGCTGGGGTGACCTCAGGGTCCGTCTAGACTGGTGACCTTGCGGACTGTCTCGAGATCCATTAAGCAAGTCGAAGCTCCTGACTTGTTTGAATGGGATCACGGAATAGCTCTGCATGCACTGCAGGGGAATGGGGCCTCATCTCGCCTCTAGGGGGAAGTCTCATGGTTTTTCTCGAGTTTTGGCGGGGACCTGGGGTATGTTCTCGACTTACCGCGGGGATGGCCCTTCAAAACACGAGTTTCTTCAGTGACGTCAGGACTCCTGTCTAGTAACGAGGGACACCTCAGGAATCTCTTCGTGGCTTTGCAAGGCAAAAGGGACGCTTCTCGAGGTGAAGCAGGGCACCCAAGGACCCTTTCCAGTAGCCAAAGGAATTTTGGGATTCCTATCAGTATTCAAGAGGAGTCAGGCATCGTCACCTTTTGAAGCAGTGAACTCCGCGTGCCTCTCGAGGTGTCAACGGGATGTGAGGCATTCCGTCAAAATGAGGCAGGGACCTAGGGCATTCTCTAATGTCTCCACAGGGGATTCAGACATCCCTTCATGTTTTGAGATCAAAGACGAGCCTGTATTCAAGCCACTGCCATTAAATGCGGCCTCCTTTCAAGTTAGGTCTTCTCGCTGTATATTCCACTTGAGGAAGCGATCTCGGGGTCCCTCTCACATAACTATTGCTGAGAGAAGCCTCCTCCTGAGGTGCTTCTGGAAAGTTGGCATACGTCTTGAGCCTAAGCCAGGGAATCAGCTCTCATCTCGAGATGTTTTGAGGTACACGGAGCATTCCTCGAGTTGCTGTGCTGAAGTTGGTGTTCCTCTAGACTTGGGACAGTGTTCTCGGGGCATCTCTGGAGTTGCCTGAAGGAAGTCGAGCCACCGGTCGTGTTGAATGGGGAACGGGGAATGGCTCTGGAGTCAATGCAGGGGAATCGGGCCTCATCTCGAGTTGATTTGGGGCACATGGAGCTGCTTTGCGTTGCTGGGGTGACCTCAGGGTCCATCTAGACTGGTGACCTTGCGGACTGTCTCGAGATCCATTAAGCAAGTCTAAGCTCCTGACTTGTTTGAATGGGATCACGGAATAGCTCTGCATGCACTGCAGGGGAATGGGGCCTCATCTCGCATCTAGGGGGAAGTCTCATGGTTTTTCTCGAGTTTTGGCGGGGACCTGGGGTATGTTCTCGACTTACCGCGGGGATGGCCCTTCAAAACACGAGTTTCTTCAGTGACGTCAGGACTCCTGCCTAGTAACGAGGGACACCTCAGGAATCTCTTCGTGGCTTTGCAAGGCAAAAGGGACGCTTCTCGAGGTGAAGCAGGGCACCCAAGGACCCTTTCCAGTAGCCACAGGGATTTTGGGATTCCTATCAGTATTAAAGAGGAGGCAGGCATCGTCACCTTTTGAAGCAATGAACTCCGCGTGCCTCTCGAGGTGTCAGCGGGATGTGAGGCATTCCGTCAAAATGAGGCAGGGACCTAGGGCTTTCTCTAAGGTCTCCACAGCGGATTCAGACATGCCTTCATGTTGTGAGATGAAAGACGGGCCTGTATTCAAGCCACTGCAAGGAAATCCGGCCTCCTTTCAAGTTAGGGCTTCTCGCTGTATATTCCCCTTGAGGCAGCATATTCGGGGTCCCTCCCACATACCTATTGCTGAGAGAAGCCTCCTCCTGAGGTTCTTCTGGAAGTTGGCATACGTCTTGAGCCTAAGCCAAGGAATCAGCTCTCATCTCGAGACGATTTGGGTTGCGCAGAGCATTCCTCGAGTTATTGTGCTGAAGTTGGTGTTCCTCTAGACTTGGGAGAGTGTTTTTGGGGCATCTCTGGAGTTGCCTGAAGGAAGTCGAGCCACCGGTCGTGTTGAATGGGGAACGGGGAATGGCTCTGGAGTCAATGCAGGGGAATCGGGCCTCATCTCGAGTTGATTTGGGGCACATGGAGCTGCTTTGCGCTGATGGGGTGACCTCAGGGTCCGTCTAGACTGGTGACAGTGTTCTTGGGGACTGTCTTGAGATCCATTAAGCAAGTCGAAGCTCCTGACTTGTTTGAATGGGATCAGGGAATAGCTCTGCATACACTGCAGGGGAATGGGGCCTCACCTCGCCTCTAGGTTGAAGTGTCATGGTTTTTCTCGAGTTGCGGCGGGGACCTGGGGTATGTTCTCGACTTAGGGCGGGGATGGCCCTTCAAAACACGAGTTTCTTCAGTGACGTCAGGACTCCTGCATAGTAACGAGGGACACCTCAGGAATCTCTTCGAGGCTTGACAGGGCAAAAGGGACGCTTCGCGAGGTGAGGCAGGGCACCCAAGGACCCTTTCCAGTAGCCAAAGGGATTTTGGGATTCCTATCAGTATTCAAGAGGAGTCAGGCATCTTTACCTTTTGAAGCAATGAACTCCGCGTGCCTCTCGAGGTGTCAACGGGATGTGAGGCATTCTGTCAAAATGAGGCAGGGACCTAGAATTTTCTCTGAAGTCTCCACAGGGGATTCAGACATCCCTTCATGTTGTGAGATGAAAGACGAGCCTGTATTCAAGCCACTGCAAGGAAACCCGGCCTGCTTTCAATTTAGGGCTTCTCGCTGTATATTCCCCTTGAGGCAGCAAATTCGGGGTCCCTCCCACATACCTATTGCTGAGAGAATCCTCCTCTTGAGGTGCTTCTGGAAACTTGGCAGACGTCTTGAGACTAAGCCAGGGAATCAGCTCTCATCTCGAGACGATTTGGGGTACACGGAGCATTCCTCGAGTTGCTGTGCTGAAGTTGGTGTTACTCTAGACTTGGGACAGTGTTCTCGGGGCATCTCTGGAGTTGCCTTAAAGAAGTCCAGCCACCGGTCATGTTGAATGGGGAACGGGGAATGGCTCTGGAGTCAATGCAGGGGAATCGGGCCTCATCTCGAGTTCATTTGGGGCACATGGAGCTGCTTTGCGTTGCTGGGGTGACCTCAGGGTCCGTCTATACTGGTGACAGTGTTCTTGGGGACTGTCTCGAGATCCATTAAGCAAGTCGAAGCTCCTGACTTGTTTGAATGGGATCAGGGAATACCTCTGCATGCACTGCATGGGAATGGGGCCTCACCTCGAATCTAGGGGGAAGTCTCATGGTTTTTCTCGAGTTCCGGCAGGGACCTGGGGTATGTTCTCGACTTACGGCGGGGATGGCCCTTCAAAACACGAGTTTCTTCAGTGACGTCAGGACTCCTGTCTAGTAACGAGGGACAACTCAGGAATCTCTTCGAGGCTTGGCAGGGCAAAAGGGACGCTTCTCGAGGTGAGGCAGGGCACCCAAGGACCCTTTCCAGTAGCCACAGGGATTTTGGGATTACTATCAGTATTCAAGAGGAGTCAGGCACCGTCACATTTTGAAGCAATGAACTCCGCGTGCCTCTCGACGTGTCAGCGGGATGTGAGGCATTCCGTCAAAATGAGGCAGTGACCTAGGGCATTCTCTAAGGTCTCCACAGGGGATTCAGACATCCCTTCATGTTGTGAGATGAAAGACGAGCCTGTATTCAAGCCACTGCAAGGAAATCCGGCCTCCTTTCAAGTTAGGGCTTCTCGCTGTATATTCCCCTTGAGGCAGCAAATTCGGGGTCCCTCCCACATACCTATTGCTGAGAGAAGCCACCTCTTGAGGTGCTTCTGGAAAGTTCGCATACGTCTTGAGCCTAAGCCAGGGAATCAGCTCTCATCTCGAGACGATTTGGGGTACACAGAGCATTCCTCGAGTTATTGTGCTGAAGTTCGTGTTCCTCTAGACTTGGGACAGTGTTCTCGG